GGTTACACTCAGATCCTTGGCACCTGAGTATGGATATAAAGTCATCAGGTAGATTTCAATAGTAATGTTTATCACCTCTACTAATTAACATGACGTAAATTTCCATGCTTCCTCCTCAAATATAATACATTTTTTAAATTTTGTTGTGTGTGTGTATGTGTGTGTGTGTGTGTGTGTGTGTGTATCACACAGAACATCCCAAACCATCTTATTCAACTATACACCCACTTCCCAGATGGCACCCTCCCACAGCCTCCCTCCCCCCACTAGAGCCCTTATAGTCTCATATCCCTGCTGCTGTCGGCTGTGTTGTTGGCACCCCCAGCCATTCTCCACTACTTGCCCTTCTGGTGAATCTAGTCAGCCTAGTATTTCAAGTTTTTTACTACATCTGTATCAATCATCTCGTATCATAATAAAATTTCACTGGTATTTCCATATTCTCTGCACAGAAGAAACCTCTGGAATTAACCTTCTGTAAGAAGTGATTTGAACATATCAGCTTAATTTTTCAAGGTGAGACCATGAATTCTTACAAATATGGTACTCATGATCAGTAATTTCTACTTCTAACATCATTTGAAATAAACAGAAAAAAATCATAGTAGGTGGCATCGTAGTGCCTTTTGTTGCACTGCTTAAATGGATAGTATCAGCTGACGAGTGAGTCTGGAGGTCCTAGAATTACTATGGTCCAATTTCTATTCCATCAATGGCAATATGGAAAGTGAGGGTAATTTCCTTCAAATCATGGAGTCAATTAAAAAAAAAATCAAAATAGATCCAATTTACTTTAATATGCAAAACAATGCTAGTTTTATACATTAAGAAATGCTGAATTAATTGGTCATCAGTAATGCTAGTGCTCTTTCAATTCTCATAATAATTACTCTGCACCTCCAAGGATGATACTGGGTATATTTACATTTTGCCTTAGAAAAATAAAATTATCTCCATGCACATACAGGATAAAAAAGTAACTACTAAGACTTAATTTAGGCATTAAATTACATCTTCAACTATGACCCATATGAGAAAAATAAATGAAGTAAATGTATACAACATTCCAAACAGTTTAGGTAGACCTACTTACAACATAAATGAATATTATAAAGCAATTTTTTAAACTACAATATAATTATAAAAATGCCTCAAGGGATAACATAATTAAAAGACAAATTATTTTAAATATAACAAATTTACATTATATTAAAATGAAAAGCACAATACCTACCACCAATTGGTATGATACAAAGGTTATATTTGCATGCTAGGTTCACAATCTTAACTACATCATCATGACACACTGTTAAAAAAAAAAGGAAATTGTATTAATTTCGGGCATATAAATAAAAGCTGGGTAACCTTACAAACTAAGGATTCTTTAGCATCTGAATTTTTCTTTATTAACTCATAATATGTTACATGGCTGTATTAAAAGGGATTCTTTTCAACTCATTTAATAATTTCAGAGTTTTAAAATAGTGCAAAAAAGACTAGAGAGATGGATCAGCAGTTAAGAGCATTTGCTGCTCTTCCAGACGAAGTGATCTTACTAAACCATTTCCCCATCCCTCATATATAAATACTACAAATAGTAAGCTTTATAAGCTTAATCTGAGACCAAAAAAATTTTGATTAAACATTACAAGGGGTTGGGGATGCAGCTCAGAGGTAGAGTATGCATTTAGCATATGCAAGGCCCTGGGTTTAATCCTCATCAAAATACCCCACTTCCCAAAGGAATGATACAAATGACAAGTATTTCTAGTTTTATGCAAACTGAGATATAATTGCAGCATTTATAGAACAGGATCTTTGCTTACATAAATACATATTAATTTGTTTATTTTTCTGAACATCCTTGTTTCTTTTTCAGAATCTTCTTAGCAGTAATATTAGAATTTTATAGTTTTCTTCTTTTCTCAAGGAAGCCTTTATCATTCCTTTTGATCCTATTTCCATGAGACTAAGAGCACATTTGAAAGCTCCTTTCCAGACATATGAAAAGATGGTCAATTAAGTTTTCTATGGAAATTGAAAGCTGATAAAATTTTTGCTTTCACAGTTTACAATTTAAAATGGTATAAGCTGGGCATGGTGGTGCACGCCTTTAATCCCAGCACTCCTGGGAGGCAGAGGCAGGCGGTATAAACCTCCAAATCTTAACAGAGAAGTAACCTAAAGCAACTAAAAGTAGGTACTATACAGGCTAGTTTTTACCATCAACTTGACCCAACCTAGAGTTACCTGGGAGGAAAAAAATCTCAATTGATATGGGAGGGCCCAGGCCACTGTGAGCAGCACCTAGATAGGTAGGTTGGCCTACTCTGTAAAGTCAGCTGAGCAGAATCCAGTGAATGAGCCAGTAAGCAACATGCTCCCATGGTTCCTGCCTCCATGATTCCTCTTAAGCTCTTGTCCTGACTTTCCTCAATGATGGATTATGAGCTGGAAATATAAATCACATAGCATCTTTCCTCCCCAAGTTGTTTGTGGTCATGGTGTTTATCACAAAAACAGAACAGCAAACCAAGTCAGGTAGTCGAAACAAAAATATTCTCCTTTTTGAGATCTTTCTTCTTAGAAATAAGCTACTATACTAAATTAATAGAGACAAAAGACTAGGGACATAACTACTCCAGATATACAGGAGAATAGACATCTCAAGTACCAGGCAATTGATTTAATCACTCCTGCCTACACTCTTGTATTTTGCCTCTGTGGATCTCATCTCTCCTCTATCACCACATTAAAGGGTAAGTTTCCCTTCAGACAGTCCCTACAAAGTAAATGGATCTAAGACCAGAGAGCTCAATGAGCCAATTTAAAAAAAAAAAAAAAAAAGATTCATTCTGAAAACGATCAAAGAGAAAAGGGATCAGGAAAAAAATTTTAAGTCAATGAAACTTTTTTAAAAATGCAATTCTGGACAGCAAGGGACATTATATGTGTCACAATTTAAATTATCTACTGAAAGAGATACATTTTAAAAAAAAACCCTAATCCACACACAGACACACACACACAAACACACACACACACACACACTCACCTCCCTCTGTTTCCCTGAGCTGCACAACCCGCCCTCTTTCCTGGACACCAGGGCTGACCCCTTGGCCTGGAACCACAACTGCTCCCTGACCCATTGCATCCAGAAGAAATCAGTTCCTTCTCGCCCTCCCCAGGAGCCCAATGGGCCTTGTTCCACCCTCACCTCCATCTGCTTCCCTGGGCTTGCACAACCCACCAGCCTTTCTTCTGGGTAAGTCCATCGCACCCCCCAGCCTCACTCACCCTCCCACCTCCCCTGCCTGTCTGTCCTAGCCTGATTACTGTCCCATTCCTTTTCTTGGCACCCCAGACAGCAGGGGAACCACCACTGCTTCTGGATCCTTTGCATCCAGAACAACTCAGTTCCTCCCCCCACTCCCCCCACCCTCCCAAGGAGCCCTCTGGGCCTGGTCCCGCCCTCACCTCCCTCTGCTTCCCTGCGCTGCACAACCTGTCACCCTCTTTACAGGACACAGGGGCTGACCCCTCGGCATCCTGATCCTTTGCATCCAGACCAACCCAGTTCCTCCCTGCAGTCCCCAGGAGACCTTGGGGACCCTTCCCGCCTCCATCTCCCTCTTCATCTCTGGGTGACACAGTCACCAGCTGCCCAAGACCAGCATCCTTGCTGGGCCCTATTTCCAGGCCAGTCCAACCCCCAAATTCCTGAGGACAGCATCTTTCCTGAAGGGTTCCAGACTTTAGGAGAAAGCCTGAGAGCATCTGATCCTCATCTGATTTGGCCCTCTGTGGGAACTCCTGAAGACAAAAGCAATCTGGCCACTCCAATATAAAATCAAAAGAGAAAACTGGAAGCATAGACAAACCAGCTTTTCACGCCCAAAAAGGAAACCACAAAGGCACATAAAGTTTACAAAAAGAAGCAGACCTAAACTTGTAGGCTTCAGTCTCACACAAGAATCAGAAACTACAAAAGAAATTCACATGTCAAAATCACAGAGAAAAAAATAATAATATGAAAACCAAAATAACATATCCCCATCACATACCAATAGTCCTCTAGAAGAGTACAATGAGAATACCCTAGAGAAAATACAGGGCATGGAACTCAAAAAATAAATTATAAACATGATAAAAGAATTCAGCGAATTTAAAGAACACGCAAATCAAAAAACTGAAGGAAGATAGAGATAAACTTCTGAATGAATTCAGAAAAGAGCTAGAAATATTGAAGACTACTCAGGCTGAAATGAATAAGGAAATGAAACATTCAGTAAGCCAATTAGAAATGATAAGGAGAAAGCCTCACCAATAGGATGAATGAAATGGAAAACAGAATATGGAAAACAGACTGGAAGATAAAGTGGACAAACCAGACCACTCAAGCAAAGATTATGAAAAATTTAGGAAAGCACAAGAATGGAGTATGAGGGAATTGTGTGACACCATAAAAAGACCAAACTTACGAATCAAAGGCATTACAGGAAGGAGAAGAATCCCAAGATAATGGCATGGACCATATCCTAAACAGAATTGTAGAAGAAAAATTCCCAAAATTAAAGAAAGACACGCCCATACAAATACAAGAAGCATATAGAACACCAAACAGACAGGACCAGAAAGAAACTCTCGACAGCATATCATAGTAAAAACATTAAATGTACAGCATGAAGAGAAAATACTGAAAGCTGCAAAAGAGAAACAAAAAGTCACATATAAAGGAAAACCCGTTAGGATTACAGCTGACTTTTCAGTGCAAACTACGAAAGCCAGAATAGACTGGACGAAAGTATTCCCAGTTTTAAATGACCACAGATGCCAACCCAGATTACTACGCCCAGCCAAAATGTCCATTACAGTCAAAGGGGAAAGAAAAATCTCCCATGACATAAACAGGCTGAAGGAATTCATGTCCACAAAACCAGTCCTTCAGAGAGTTCTAGAAGCAATACAAAGAGCTAAAGAAAGGAGTGACTATACCCACGGGGTTGCAGAGAGAAATTTGATGAAGGTATAACTGTGGAAAAGTACAGCTATATCAAGAATGTGAACAGAAATAAAAATGACAGGATTCAATACACATCTTTCATTAATAACTTTAAATAATAACAGACTGAACACCTCAGTCAAAAGACACAGACTAGGTGGATGGATTAAGAAAGAAAACCCATTTTTTTGTTGTTTGCAAGAAACTCATCTCACTTTTAAGGACAGGCACTATCTTAAGGTGAAAGGATGGAAAAAGTATACCAAGTGAATGGTACTAAGAAAAAAGTAGGCATTGCAATTCTAATAACTGACAAAATAGACTTTAAACTAAAACTATTAAGAAGAGATAAAGAGGGTCACTTCATTCTGATCAAAGGAACAATAAACCATGAAGATATTACAATCATGAATATATATTCACCAAACTCTGGTGCACCCAAACTTCATAAAAACAATACTACAACTCATTAATAGTAGGGGACTTCAATACCCCACTGTCTCCATTAGATAGAGCAACAGGACAGAGAATTAACAGAGAGACTTTTGAATTAAACAATACCGTATATCAAATGGACCTAACAGACATCTACTGAATATTCCACCCAAGCACCAAAGGACATACTTTTGATTCAGCGCCCCATGGAACTGTCTCCAAAATCGACCATATACTGGGGCACAAATAAACCACAAAAAATACAAAAAGATTGAAATAATTCCATGCATTCTATCAGACCACAATGCAATAAAGCTTACAATCAACACCAGAAGAAGCCCTAGTCACCACATGAACACATGGAGATTAAACAACACACTCCTGAATGATGAATCGGTCAAAAGAGAAATGAAGAAAGAAATAAAAGTATTCCTAGAACTAAATGAAGAGGACAATACAAAACAACAAAACTTCTGAGACATGCTGAAAGCTGTCCTAAGAGGGAAGTTTATAGCTCTAAGTGCCTACCTTAAAAAAATCTGAAAGAACACAAATAAATTACTTCACACTGCAACTCCAGACACTTGAAAAGCAACAACAAATGAAACCCAAATCCAGCAGACAAAAGGAAATAACAAATAGCAGGGCAGAAATTAATAAAATCGAAATAAAATGATACAAAGAATCAAGGAATCCAAGAGCTGCTGCTTTGAAAAGATAAACTGGATTGACAGACCCCCTAGCCCATTTAACCAAAAGAAAGAAAGAGCAAATCAACAAAATCAGAGATGAAAGGGGAAACATCACAACAAACAGCAGAAGGATAAAGAACATTATAAGGGAATACTTTAAAAACCTATATGCTACTA